ACATGTATGTGATGTAATATGAAAGGCAACTATCCATACGTTCTATTCATACTCAAATATCAATCTTGAATTTTCATAAAATGTGTCACAGCTGGTTCCATGTACATTTCTTGTACCGCCCACAACCTGAATAAAAACCTACACATTAAAACCTGACCATGTGACTGAGTAAAACATGAGTTGGACTAGTTTATTTCTAGTTGGCTGTGATGAGCAAGTGACTCGCAAATTAATTCAGTGTCTCATTAAAAACCAGATTCGTATACACCGAGGTCTTACGATGTGAAGTAGTTCAGATTTAGTGACTTTTTTTCTCAATTTCTTTGCAGATGAACTGCAGTTTTCTGGCACAAAAGTGGCCTTCATTTGTTCTTTTCTGTTACTTCTTAGCTTTTCTGGAACATGCCTGTAAGTGCCAGTCCATTAATCAAGCCAGCATTTCCATAAAACCCAAATTTTGCAACTGTGCCAAGAAAAAGGAAGGAGGAAATTATCCTTTTTTGGTGGGAAATTGGCAAAGCAAGAGTGTTCATTCTTCTGAAACTCCATGGAAATCAAGTTGGGAATGACAGACCCAATCCTCATGGCGTGCCACAAGGGACTTTAGTATGATCAGATGAAGGCCAAAGCAAGCATACCACACTGACTGTCAAATAAACTCTGTTGGGATGAAGAGCCAACATAGCATGGGGTATGATTTATGCCATCCACTGGCCTGGGACCTCTGTGACTTTAAACATTTCTGGAATTCCAACAACTCCTGCAACAACAGCTGACATTTCTGTAATTAATGCCCGCTGGAACTCTTCAAGCTAGGGATGATGAAAAATATATTTATGTGATGAAGAATACTGTATGGTAGTTTCTGTTAAAAGGAATTCTTCACAACTACGGCCCACTGTCAAAGTACATTTACATGTACATGTAGACAGAACCCTTTCAACATGGGAGAAAGCTCAAGTTTTTCAAGTGGTTGGTGAGGCATGCCACTGCCATGTCAAGCCAAGGGTCAAGGGTGCACACTTGAGTGACTGACCACTCAAACTCAGGAAATGTCAACTTGAAAAAATCAAAGTCTGGGGACACTTTGCCGCCAGAAACCGAAAATCATCAGGTCCAAATGGGCAGGATTTGAAAACGGTCTCATTTCGAACTTGAGTGATAAATGCCGGTGGAGGTGCTCAACGACTAATGTAGAACACCCAGTTCAGACAATGCATCGGGACATCAAACGCTGCGGGGGAACTTCACGGCAAGCAGTAAAAGGAGACGGCCTCCAACAAACATGCTCCCATTGATTGCAAATATCGACCAGCCGGGGAGATATATAAACTATTCCCTAATGTTGCAACCCTCGCATTAGCATTCTCCAAACATCGTGAATCAATAACTGGTGCACCTCCACACTGCCGAGGGCTACAGGCCCAAACCTGGCCCTAAACTGAAATAAAGTCCATTTGGTCTGCAGTTTGACAAACACTCTTTCTAGGGCTGTCAGTTAATGTGGCAGTCATGACTGCTACATGTACATGTATATTCCACTGCACATGCAGTGAGCTTTGCCATTCGTTTTTTCAGTGATCCTGTGGTTTTTGAGCTGAGCAGAGAGGCTGAGATTGATCACACAACATATCTAAGCCATCAGATTCTGACAGGGAATTAAAAACTGCTGTGGAGAGCATCAGGCGGGTCTGCGGTGAAATTTTCCGGGCCCGAAAGAGAAATTTTGATCCACGACAGTTTTCACACCAGAGAGCCGTGGGGCTTTGACCCACACTGAGTGAGGAAAACTTGGAATGATTGACCACATTGTGGCTGAAATATCACTGAAGCATATCTGGGGAGAAGAATTTCTTGCAATTCGCTCAGAGACATTTTTGCCAGATGTCCCCGGCCAGCAGTGACTAAAACCTATCAGGGTCTCATGTACATGTACATTTCACAAGCCGTGCCGACTGTGATCAGGCGACGTTTACACAGCTTTGGCTGGCAAGGAAAGCTGATCAACCGGCGGTGATTGAAAGTTGTCCCCACAGAGTTTATTTTCAGAGGAATGGTAAGGCGCTCTATTTTGCAAGGTGAAGAGCCCATTGATTAAAGAACCAAGACTTCACAAATACACGTCTCAGCGTCTGTGGATTTCCTTTTTGGACAACCTCTAAGCATCCTCTGAGGATGTGCAGTTGCCGTGTCACGCAGGCCCTTGAATGTGAGGGCAATCCCAAAGTCTCATTCACTCCTCTTGCAGTGTTTCATGTGTCTAGTACCATGATTGATTACTGAAACTCAATCTGATCCTCTGTGTGTACACAAGGGTGCATCTTTGAAAAAAAAAGAAAAAAAAAAAGGTTATTTGTACACTCTACGCAGTGCTTCGTAGCTCTCGGTGACCATTACTTGGGGAGGAAGGATGCATCAACTTTCAGAGACAGACTTGATTTACCAGGAAGCACATCCGCATGGTCCACACTATAACCACGAGCACTCCGTCATTAGCACTACATCACACACATCAGTCACAGCAAAGACTGCCACGGATCGGATCAGCCTACTCCCTTGTCTCTATGTGCCACTGCATAATAAGGCCTGCAACTTATCAGCTGCATGTAGCTTCATGCTGTGTTCCACTTTTTCTCACAGTCCCTCCACATCTTCACCGACCGGTAGACCAAAAATTGTACCAGAGCGTGTGTGTGTAAATGAAACCTTCATTACCACTGCTGCTTGCACTACTGTGACAATGCATCCTGTGTTCAGAAAGGTGTGATTTTTGAGGAGAAATATCTTCATGTACATGTTGGAGGATCCGTTTACATCTACTCAGAAGTGCTTTGGAAAACTTTATCTTCATCCTGGTAAGCCTGAGCTGGAGTTTGCGATACATGTGCTTTTTCCAGTGAAGCCCACAGGAATTGCCAAGAGTGTGGCAGCATTTGACTTCTCAAAGACAGCTCTAGACTTCCCTGTCCCAGAGGCCCTGCTGGCCCACTCTCCTCAGCAACTGAGCCCAAGATCTTTCTCCTTAATTTAAAAAAGGATCCATTATAGAGGGGAAATATACCCAGCATATGGTTTCTTCAGTCAATCCAAGGAAAGGGGCCCCAGTATCTTTCCTTCTGTACAGGTTACACCTTTTTACTGAGCTTGGGATTCGCTGTGCTTCTTCAAAGGAACCTTCTGACAATACTTGTTAATACCTGAAACAAATATTACCATCAGTCCTGTATTTCAGGGATTTCATTTTGGTGAGGAGCATTTAAATGCTGTGAATATATTTATTTCCCAGACCAAGGAGACAGCCTGGTATAAAATGGTGGATCAGAGGAGCACTGCAGAGCTGATTATTGGCTCGTTGGGAATTGTGGGTAATTTACTGGTCTGCATCTCCATCATCAGGGCGAAATTCATGCACAACATCACCAACTACATCTTGCTCAGCTTGGCCATCGCTGACTTCATTGTGTGTCTCAATATTGTGATCTTCAACGAGTGCACCCTTGACGTCTGGGCTGCGGACTTTCGCCCGTCCAGCGATCTGGTCGGCGAGATCCTCTGCCAGCTATTCGACGACAAGATCCTGGTCTGGTGGAGCAGCAAGACATCCGTCATGCATCTAGCATTGGTGGCAGTGGAGCGGTACGTGGCCATCGTGCAGCCGCTGCGGTACAAGCAGTACTTCACTGTGCGCCGTCTCCTCCTGCTGTTTGCCGGACTGTGGGTGTTGTCACTCCTGTGGCAGCTGCCCTACATGCTTATCCCAGACTACAACCCCGACACCTCCAAGTGCGACAAGCCCGGGACGTCCACCTTCAGTCATGTCTTCTTTGTCTTCACCAACTTCCTCTTCATCATCATTCCTTCCCTGTGCACCCTCTGGTGCTACTGGCGGATCCATCGGTGCCTGCGGGCCAGCGCGCACAGCTTCCTCCGCGACAACAACAGGGGGCCCGCTTATGAGCTGCTGCATGCTTGCCGGAAAGTGGTGCAGACGCTTTTCATCGTCTACGTGGCTTTCATCATCCTGTGGTTCCCCAATCTCATCCTGGGCATCATCTACAGTGTGACGACGCTCTCCATTACACCGAAACTCAGCGACGCCTTCAAACTCATGGCGTTCTCTAATTCAGTTGTCAATCCTTTCATTTATGGCTTCAAGTATCGGCAGCTTCGAAAAGCTTTCAAATTGGCAGTGATGCCCTGTTGCTCTAAAACTGGTGTGGACCCACACAGTAGATCTGTTCACCATGAACTCAGCATTTTGCATTTACCACAGGGTTCAGCAAATAGTCCATCTTGAACAAAACATGCATGCAGTCAAACAAGTGTGCATTTGATTTAGAAATCACATTAGAAAGCTTACAGTTTTGGTATGGTAAATCCCACAAAACAGTAGCCTTAAAATTGGTCTGGAGTATGTGACTGAGCTTTGTAATTTAACAAAACTGACATTATATTCAGTCTGTTTTTGTCCAACAATGGCATAATTTGCACCAAATCATTGCCATGAAAATACCCCCTCCCCAACCCCCCCCCCACATACATGTATGTACATGCATGCTTGTTTTCATTTAAGTGAGGACATTCCTTTGGTCTCCCGAGGTTAAGAAAACGCTGGAAACATGCTCCTTTTTCTCTCACTATCCTTGGAATTGGATTTATGGTGATTTCTTAAGATTGTTCCTCTCCATTGTGCCGCTGATAACCCTGACCCCAAAATGGCTCTGAAGCTATTTATCGAAGAGGGGAAAGCACTGTGTGGACGTGTAGGAGTCCACACAACATTCTGTTACCCTACATTATGAGGACTTCTTTTGTGCTAAAGATCCACATCACATGTACAATGTACATGTGTGTATGCCATACTTACACCGTATGAACAGACATTGTACACTGTACATGTTCGATACTTGTTCAATATTTGTAGGGACAAACACACGATATTTCACCTATTTTGTGGGGACCAAAAACATTGAGGGGACAGAGAAATGTCCCACCAACTTGGTCCTACATGTAATTTGACTGACAAAAGAAATTGGCCCCTTGACCCAGTGAAGGCCTACCCACACGTGCACATGAAACAGTTCAGTCGTTTGGCAAAACATTTGACGGACACCATACAGAATAAGTGATTGTCTTGCTAACCAGGTATTAACAGTTTGCGGTTGATGTTTTCAACAGGATTCCTGAACCTTTTAAACAAAATTTTAACCAATCTACTGGCACATGCCAAAAAATGCACCTTGGTAATCGAGAAACAGGTTTTTTACTTTACACATGACATTCCACAGTACTGTCTATCCCTACTCTGCTGAAGTTTACCATCATCTTCAAGTATAAAAGTTCCAAATGAAAAAGCATGAAAAAGTTCAAGGAAAAAGTGCAATTCTTTTAATTATTATGACAAAAGTGAAAGCCACTTGCACAGAAGGTAGAGACATACATGTAGTGTAATTTGACGAACCAGATTGAATTGGAAGCCGCGTTACATGCCTCTTCGACCAATATACATGTATCTCGATTTGCCAAATGCTCGTGTGTGCCAAGCTGAAGAATGTGCGTGCGAGTGCGGTGGCATTGCAGTTAGGGCATCTAATCGAATTTGTGCGTCTATATACAGTTCAATGTCAAACCTTGTTCTGAATACTGATCAGCCTATGTATAAACACCAGTGAAGGATATAAAACAGCGTACTGAGTCCAGTTGATAATAAATTGTGGCTAATCATTCGGTTGGATTCAGTGATTTTTCAGAATCAGGTTTTTTTCTTACTTTTGTTTAATTTTGTTTTACATTCAAAATGACCCTTGAATTCAGAGATCAAGTCTGCACATAAAATCTTGGTTTCCTTTGAATTGACAATGTCATAGCTCCTTTAAGAAAGGATGTTGTTGAGCGCTGATATCACCAGTAATTTGGAAAGAAAACATATTTGTGGGTACTTTTAAAAGTCAGCTTCCTTTTGTGGTGATGGTCACATATGATAATATATTTCCACTCCCATGTGGTCCAATTTTGTTTCCTTGTGTACATGTATGTATACTGCTTCATTAAACATACATGTGAAAGAATAACAATAGTACATACATGTAAATGTGCATTTTGTGAATTGTAACCACTGCAGATGTAAATGGCATCAAAATTGGATTGGCTAAACTCACGATGAATATGTACAACAAAGAGGACATGCGCACGGTTTACTATTTTGTTTGATGACCAACCAAATCGTATACATGTACATGTGGTTCAAACAGATTTACAATCTTGTACATGCATGTATATGTAGTGGCTGTAGATAGATCTGGAGCACACGACTGGAATGCATTGAAGTGACACCATGGTAACGCCAGGATTTTGCCTTCAGAATTTGGCTCTGTATACATGTACCCTTTCTACATGCATATCCAAACAGTGGTATTAATTGTTTTAACGAAAGACACCACAATAAGAATGGAACTGAACGATACCTAATACATGTACCATACCGCACCTATTTAATGTACATGTACTGTAGGCATTTCCTGAAAACGGTTCCAAAGGCAGAGGGGTGCCAGGCAATGAGCAAAACCCATTCAGGAATTTGCCAAATCATACCATCCAGTACCTACTAGTACATGTACTGTATGTGTCCCAGATTGTACCAAATATCAATGTCATACATGTACATGAAATGTACAGGATGCAGGAACAGAGCTGGGTGAAATTAGTGCAAGAAAATCAATCATTCCTGCTGTCTCAATATGCATACATCTCCACATGTGCCAATGCACTGACTGACATGGAACAAGAGAATGAACTCACGTCAGTTCAAAGCTGTTCCCTTTTTTGCATAGATTAGGCAAATCCTCTGTTATATCTCTAGATTACCAATGGCAATGGACCAAACTTCAGAGCTGAAAGCACTTGGTGAGACAGTACATGTATCTGGTTAGCTACATGTATATTGGTAGTGTGATGTTGTTGCACCCGAAACCACGCCTAAAGAGTTGGCGTCATAGCCAATGGGCACTTGTACTCAGTACTGAGTGTGTGCTTGTATTACAGCAATACATGTACCAGTACATGTATTAAACAAACCAGATTACTTTTGAATATGGGTAATTCCAGAAATTAGGGGTCCCAAAGTGTGACACTTTTGTGTCCATGTTACATCTGACCTTTGCTATTTCATTCGACATGGAAATACATGTACATGTATGACCGGAATTGATTTCAAACTATTTCGATTTTGTTTGGTACATGTAGGTAATTTGCATCATTTCATCACTCTTGGAAATTAGAAAATGTCTTCTAAACTTACAAAATCGTATGTCAGATGTGACAGGGACACGAAAAAAAAACAGACCAATAATTTCTAGAATTACCCATAGCAGATGTACACTGTATCTCGGTAATATGGGAAGAGGTCTTGGATTCATGCCAAGTTGACAGTCTGCCAATCTAAACATGCATGAGCTTGAGGGGGTATTCATCACGGGGGGGGGGTTGTCAGGTTGGTGTGGTGTTTCTTTCCTCGCCTCCCACCTCTAGGGGCTGTGGTTCGAATCCAGCTCAGTCCACATGTGGATTGGGTTCTTAGTCCCTACCGGTACCTGAGTCCATGGGTTTTCCCCGAAACATTAATCCGGGGTTTTCCTCCCACCTCTAAACTGAACATTTCTTCATTGTCTTCTTCACTCATTAACATCCTGTTGGCGCTAAATGCGCTGTTGGATGAACAGATATAAACATTTATACTATTAATCTGAAGTGTAAGTGGAAGAAAAAAGCTTACATGTAGGTAACCAGGTGGGCTTCTGAAACTCTCTGTACCAAGTTTTTGGGACTTGGGAGAGATCTGTATATTGATGTTATTTTCAAAGTAGCAGTATTTTTAACAAACTTGAAATACTTCTTAAATCTGAAATTCACAACATTGCTACATGTACATGTTTTCAGTAACTGAACTTCATTTAGCCTAAAAAAGCCAGTTTTCTTCAGACCATCCCACACCTGTGGTGCTTGTTTCAGAGATTTCTCTGTCTAAAAAAAATTGGGGTTTTTTTAAGATTCTGGTGGAATCCAAAACTTCTATTCAAATATTTCTTATGACTTACTCTTCAAGATTCAAGAACAAAACCCACAAGTTTTACATCAAAAGGCATTAGCCTTGTAACAAATTAGTAACCTTGTTTATTCCAAAACTGCACTTGGTCTGAAACGTATTCCCTGTCCACCCAAAGTACCGAATGTTGCAGTGGCAACATTAACACAGAATCAAAGATGTGTCGTGGGAAAATTTCTATGCTCTAAACAAACTCACTGCACATTTTCAGTTGCTGTGCATGTTAGAAAGCAAAAGCATAACAGGGACTAAAATACAATCCAATACCCACTGCCACTCCATGAAGAAAAGGTAGAGATGTCACAGTGCAACATTCTTCCTGCAAACAGCAATGTTATACATGTAAGATCTCACTGAGGTTAAGATGAGACCAACCCCCCCCCAAATACAAAAGAAACGTGAGACATACAGTTTTCACCCACATTCACTACTTAATGGCAAATTGAAATCAGCCTGGAGTAGGGCTGTGCTGAGTGCCTGGGTACCCATAACCCGACTGCCGATTATGGGCACCTGGATCCATTTTGTCAATTTTATTACTAGAAATTGCCCTTGAAGATGTCAGCATGACAGGCAAGCAACCTTTTCCTTTGCTTACGGTACCTGCCGATAAACTGTCAGAAAAAAAGTTTTAAACGTTTTCAGTCCATTTAACGACAACTTAGATCGCAGATGAATTAATGAAAAGAACCAGTCATGACACGCTACTCATACAGGTTGGCTGGCTTTGCCTGGCAATATACATGTAGTAGTGTGGCCTTACATGGTAAACTTCAACATTCAATTGACTTTCTTCACATAGTGCTGCCAAGCCTCTTCATTGAAAAATTTTAAAATTCATTTGGTTATAATACGGTCCTATAACCTTCATGATACATGGTGTTGCACCTAAAGCTGGCCTGATTGCTACCAAGGACCCAATTGTTACCCATGCACAGGAATGGCATGGTCATGTGACTCCATACATGTTGGTATACATGTACTATGAAAGCACAAGTGAAGAGAAGTCCTGACTATGCACTGCTCGGTGTACTATTATGACCATAGACCAAACGACATGAAAGTTTCCGTAGATTTTTTTTAGGTAACAACAAAAAATCTCAGAAAAAGACGAAGCACAACTACGCAATATTAGCATTTACAAAGAGAAGGAAAATACATGTAACTACAGAAATGTACCAGTGGAGAGCGAGTTGATTTCGATTCCTGGTACCAGTATGACTCAGTGACTTGGGAACTTTCGTTGGCTTGAAGTTTGGATAACTCAAAGTCCAGTTGTCAAGACTTTACTGCAATAAAAAGTTTGAATAGCAAAATAGTCCTGTACAATTTTTGTTCCCGAATGCATGCCAGTGAGCATGTCAGTACAGTATGTCAGTACTCAAACCAGCAGCATAGCAGTAGAGTCAAGTGACAATACTCGACTAACATATTTTTTATTACAGTAAACTCTGACTAAGTCGACATTGCGTAACCCGTCATATCGTCTAAGTCGGCGTTTATACATGCAAGTGATCATTTTGTATACGTCGGCATGTTTTTCTCAGTCTCTTTTCAACAAAACCACAAAAATTCCTTTGTGTAAGTCGGCATTTTAAAAAAGTCTTGCTTAGGTATAGGTTTCCTTCGCCGTGGTTGTCAAGATGTGTCAAGTGACAAGTCCGAATTCGAAGGATAATAGTCAAGAATGAATTTGCTGGGATTGACCATGGAGGTAGAAATAAACCAGGGTAAATCAAAGCCACTGAATTAGTGCAAGGAATCATAATGTACAGTACATAGGCAATACATGTGTAAGTTGGCAAAATGACAACTTACAACACAGGCCGGCATTCGCGTAAGTCGTCATAATTACTTGCGTCCCGAGAGTGCCGACTTAGTCGGAGTTCACTGTGTTTCAATCATAATGACGGGTACCCGGGTACCCACCCGTTACAGGAATCATGTATATATGCAATCACACATATGAAGCCAAACCACGGTTCACAACCATGCACAATGCATGACATCTAGATGCTCAACCAACCATAAAAACTTCACGTGTGAAATTAGGCTCCAATAACATTCGGGCTTTATTTTCCTTAAAAAAGAAAAACTCCCTGCCCATAATTCCGACCCGTGATTCAAACCCACACCCCATGCATCACAAACCATTATGCTGTAACTGCTTGACTACCGCAATTCACACAAATTGATGGTGTATTTACTGTTGATATACCGATGAACAGCTGCAACGCAAGTCTAATACACATTGGGCATGCGCAATACAAACACAACCATCGTGGTTCGGCTTCATACGTATGGTTGCATATATATCTCTAAAAAGTTGGAAATATCAAATATCAAAAAAAAGTCGGGGCGGTAGGAAAAATCTGGTCAGGCGGTGCTGATAAACAAGGGATTAGGCCCAATTTTAATTGGGCAATCGACATCAACTTAGCTGAGTAGCCTAGGCCCTAGTAAGCAGTAGTACTAGCTACGGACACGTATAAATGAGTGAGGGCGCTGTTTATTTGGAAACTCATTTTCTTAATAGGAAATTGTGATTAAAATTTGTCTTTTTAGCACACTGCAGCTCCTGTGTTTAATTTCCAATTTCAAGTGAAGCCAGAATTGAAAGATTTTACAAAAACAGTAATTTTGAGCTTTTCAGTTAAAATCGTCACACATTTTTGTGTAAAAAATAATTACAGTTTGCTCTGCATTACATGTGTACAAAAAACATCTCACAATATTCCCGCTTCAAATCAATTTTTCTTTACTTTGCAGAGCCCGATGGAATCCAAACTTAGGCTAGGATGAAAGGGGGTGCAGCATCTTTAGAACCACTGATTAGCAGGCACTGTAACAAGCTCTACTGGGCTTGTCTAATTTCTAAAACAACTTCAAGCAAAAACCTCTGATTAGCAAGCACTGACAAGGGCTTTCTTGTCTTTTTTTTGTTGCCGACACAATTTCTGAAACTTAACTAGCACAGAACCACCGATTTTCAGACAGTGTGAAGGGCCTTACTTCCCTTGTTCGTGATTGATACTGATTTTGGGGGGAAAAAATTTCACAAAAGAAGAAAGCTCGAAGTCATACCGGTAGACGGTGATATTGTCCAAAGTGTTTAATTACTGGAGCACGTTTATTAAACTAATAAATCAAGTTAAATGCAAGTAAAGTACATTTTTTATTACCGGGTAAGAAGTGTCCCGGGTACGAGTTGCCCTGGGTGTGAAATTTTGGGTACGAGTTGTCATAAATACATGTACATGTATGGTACGAGATGTCCCGGGTACCTACCAGATCACTTCAAAAATAAAAGGGAAAAAATATTCTTGAACTTATTACCAAATACACAGGCCTACTGTCCGAATAACTCTTAAGCCTAGTCTGAAGTCTTTGGCGGATAGCTTACCTGTCCAAATTTTGGAGGAGGGTCACAGAACAGCGCTCCACTTCCGACTTCAGCGCGCCATCGATCAGACGTCAAAGTTCATCCCCAGCCCGCGGCGGTGGCATCAATGGTACGGCGGATTCCATTGGTCAATGAGAGGTAGCTCATCCAATCAAACGTGCAGCTGAAACTTGGATATTGGTTCCTGGGTCTGAAACCCGAATCATCCCTCATCACTGGAAGCGCATTTTATTTTGGTACCAGTCTTTTTTAGTTGATCGGTAATGCATGTACATGTACATACGCGAGCCTTCAACGTTTGTTGTTTCTTGCTGCATGTTGAATGGCTGAAAGTTTTGTGAAGACAACTGATTGGACCTAATGGGTACCGTAACCTTAAAATTCTTCCAATTTCATTTGAGTACATGTCGCAGATGCATTAAGCCTGTATGTGGGTTTCCTTTCTGTGAAAGGCTGTACAACTACAACTTGAGTAGGCCTAGGTCTATAACTTACAAGCCAGCCTGGGTACAGGTCCTAGCTTACCCAGGTCACTAGGTGTAGACCCGTAACAGCGTCCAACGAATACTCCTCCGTCGTATACCAGATGTATGACGGAGGAGTATTCGTCGGGCCCTGTTTACCGGCTAGCCAAGGTGGACTCCCTGTCGTAATGAAATGAAGACAACATCCAACCTGGTCTGAGGGCCTAGCTAGCCCCACATGTCACGTGGCCTAGCTGTAGTGGCTCTCTTTTCATGCTTTTACAATCTGTCTCTTATCCGTCGCCACCAGACAGATTATAAAAGACAGATTGCAAAAGCGAGCCACTGCAGCCCTACGTGTGGGGCTAAGGGCCTAGCTAGCCTAGGGGGTCACGCTAATTATTACTAGGCCCAATCCTAAATTTGCGCATACAAATATTTGCACATCCAACTTTCTCGTCGTGAAACTCTTCCACGAAATTATGCACTGCAGGTTAATTTGCTGTCAATGATCGAGCGTCACTTCAGTGTTTTTCTTTTAGCAGCTAGGCCTATGTGCAAATTAAAAACTTTTCCAGGGAGAATTCAGGAAAAATTTCAACAGAGCATAAACATTATACTTCACAGACTAAATACAAAAATGAACTGATTAAAATTGTCTAGAATTTAGAAAATGGATTAAAGACCGCTGTTCATTCACGACCAAGGTTGGACGTCTGATACGAGCACTAATGACAACTTTGGTCAACTTTCGCCAAATATTGAGGGCGTTATCAAAAATACAGAGCCAGAAAAGGACTGCGCACCTTATTTTGAGATTCCCGTTGGTGACGATGGGCGCAGATTTGGTGGCACTGTATTTTGTGATTTTTTTTCAGAAATACACATAGAAAGAGAATTTTTGTCATAATATCCAGATAAATAACTTATGTTAATGCTAATATGATTCATTTGAAAGAATATAAATTTATGCCTCACTGAAATTTAAAACTAAATTGAAAAAAAAAATTAAAATCTAGAACGAAAAAGACAAACTGCATCATTAAATGAAAGTAATTAATGCAAGAAATAATTCCTCATTAAAGAGACATTAACTGGCAGATTTACTGGCAGATAGGTACGTACATGTACGCAAACATAGTTTTACTACAGCCAATCCAACTCGTTTGCAGACGACATTATTCCTGTTGCTTCAATGACATCCGATGGTCTTCATAATATTATTCCGTGTAGGATTTTAGTCAAACTTTCAACTACTGAAAATGAAGCCATAAAAAATTTAGTATTTTTTAGAATACATTTTGGTCAAAGTACTAAGTGCATGGATTATGGTTACATGTGGATATATTTAAAGACCAATTCTAATGGTTTTAGAAGTTTTGAAAATAAACTACTGTTGTGTTTAGTGTGTAATAAATCATATATTCATTACCAAATCATATCTGGATTGCGTCTGTATTTTTAAAATTTTGCCAAAACTTTTGATCTGTTTCTTTGAGTTTCATCAAAAATTTTCACAATCTGACTGCTAGCGGTGCAGTTGAGAAATGAAATTTGTGTGATGTAATACCAGAAACTGGTATCGGTGGCACAACTGTTCCCGTTACAAACGTACATGAACATGGAGCTACATGTACCGGGGATCAATCTGTGTGCAAGACCTACTGTGCTACATTATCTCTTTTCCGTCAAGAGTTTGTACTCCTTTCTTCACAGTTTACAGTGATGCCGAAATTTGTACGTCGCTGGTGGATGTACTAAAAATTCTGCGAAAGAACTGGGATTGAAATTCTCTTCAAGGTTCCGAAGAATGAGAGCATTCTTCAATTTTGTGCTGTTGTCCACGGCTATGCGTGTTATGCATGCCTAAAGTGCACGCACTGCAGTATTTCCTCTCCATGGTAATACATCACAAAAATCAATATTCATTAGATGCTAATGAGTTGTGACGACACGTCCATGTTTACAATACCGAACTGGAATCGCAGGAAAAATGGGTACAAAAACTGTGTTTTATTAACACAGTGTGATTTGCAAGGGAGATACTGACGTGCCATTTTTAGTAGACTTGGCTCTTCTGAATAGGATTCAATATGAGAAAAGTTAGCATCGTTGTAGTTAATCTTTAAATTCCAAAACTGAACTTGAAAAAATGATGCCTACAAAATCATCTTTTGCGACTTTTAGTCATCATTTATAATGTCATTATGCTTCACTTTTCCACACTAATAGGTCTAACTGATTGAGTTCGTCATCAAATCATCACTCAGTTCATTTCAGTGGAATTTATTGAAGGATTGCCATGACAACACTGACCACCAGCAGCAGCGAGTCCTCCACCATTCAGACTTTGGACGAACTAAGCCAGGAAACTGCAACCACAGTATCATCATCAGCGGCCTCCATTAAAGACTACTCCATCTTGACATCGGCCCCACAGGAGACTGAACCTGACGAGCATGGTTCAAGTAGCGAACTATGGGAGACAGCAACCAACACGCGCTCCTTTGAGCAGACATCAACAAACGGATCATCCCTGACCAAGACGGATGACAAGTTGAGCGGGAGGAAGGGAGGGGCATGGAGGAAGGCGGGAGGAGGGAGCTCCTCTTCTGAAATGGAAGAGTCTTACTACTCAGCAGATTGGGAATCAAGCCAATCTCATAACTTGTCGGTGAGTACTTGGCAATAAAATGAAATACAAATATTGACCTACCTGTACCTGGTAGTTCAACTTTCAAATTGCTGCTCACACCAAGTTTGGATCAGGCAGTTGACTTCAAGATACATGTAGATTTGAACCAGCATTCTGTGCAAACAGCCTCCTCATGCTCATGCTTGGTATTGAAAGATCTGAACCATCCGACCAGAAATTTTCCAGGGTCGACTGATTCATTTGTAGCATAAGGTGATGACCTTGTTGATAAATTGACTTGGTGGGTAACGTTTTTACCCCCTGCTTGGTAGAGCATACAAAATGATAACTTGGCAGTGGCATGGGTGCAAATGCCCCTGCTTAATTGTCTCGTCCGATCCTTGCAGGATTCCCGCCAGAAGTCCGTACTGTCCACCCAGCAGCAGTTCATCCAAGCTAAACTCAGACTCTTGAAGAAATCTCGGCACAAAATGGGAACCACGGCAACACAGGAGACGGTGGCAGTACACTCTGAGGTCGAGGAGAAAAGCTTGTTCTGCCAGAAGGCAATTGGGACTTTGCTCAATGAGAAAAGACAAGGCAAGAAGTGTCACTGTACTTCGTAAAATTAACAGGCCTGTTACCTGACCAGAGACTGGGGGGGTTCGTCAAACCAAAAAGTGGAACTTTTGGCACTGTAAACACATTTTTATACAAAGGCCTTGAAAAGACATTAAAAGTTGCCTGTCTGTCATGAACCAAAGGTTGCATGTAAGACTTGTACACAGTAGTTTTTAATATTGAATAAACTTAACAAAAATACATTGATTTCAAACCCTTTGAGACACCTGAAATGTGGATATTAGCAAGAACTTCCTGATGGTACATAATGACTGGAGATGGACACATTTATACGCAGAATCGTGATCACCTTGAGCTTGAGAATCAACATGTAAGCCGTGGCTTGTATGCCAAATATTACGGTATATTTGAAATATTCAGTATGCACAAAAAACCCACCAACAAGCGGAACTCAGAAGCGGGGGGGGGGTGCGTTTGAACCCCGGTAACCTCCCCCCCCAGCCTACAGGCCTGATTAACTTTGCAACTTTCCTAGTCACCAGTGAAAAACTTTAGGAAAAACCTTTTATCAGTCTACCACATACTCCAGGCTTGAGAGCATGCAAAATGGAACTACACAAAAGTACAACTTCATTCAAGATATATTAATGCTATGTCATATTCAAGTCCAGCACAAGTCCCTGTAAGTCCATCACAAATCCATCAGAAGTCATTTATGCTTAAGACAATGTACAAGCTATTCAAATGAGCCATGACAAAAGCATTCTTTTGTCATTGTTCACCCTGTTACTTATGACTGGCCTCTTGAAGGGACTTGTGACAGAACTTGTGATGGACACGAATATAACTCAGCAATAATGTTGACAATCAACACTAATAGATCAGATATTTCCTTACAGGGTGATAGTCTCCAGTAGACATTTTGAAGTTGGTTTGCTGCAGTTTGAAATTTAGTCACCTCTGCTTTTCAGATGTAACCAGCTCAAAAACGCAGACAGAAAGAATCGGGGCAAAGCCCGAGAGCTCTTCCGAGGCTTCTGGCATCTTCATTGAAAGAGAGTTCATCGAAACTTTGAAGATAGGAAACCTACTGTCGGCTATGAAACAGGTGATTTTACACATTGTGAGACTTGTTGGAACTGGGGTGTTGAAGTTGTCGGTGTCATGCACTGGGGTTACAGTGCTGAGACAGCAGATTCAAACAAATAAACCAGCTAAGTGATCACTGGGTTTGTGTTTGTGAGCAAGATGCTTTACTGCAATTGCTCCTTCCCAGCCTGCAGCCGTGAGTTGCTCTGTCACGTTTAAAGGCCTAAGTAAATTTTCTGTGTTTGCTTCTCTATTCCTTACTACCACAGGCAGCATCTGTTGATACCACCAGCAGGGCTGAATCTTGCCAACAATGCCAGTGAGTATAACCCCTGGTCCAACTCCCATCACCCCACGCCTACCTATACACCCTATCTCCACCCCTGCATCCTACTCTCATCCCTTCACTCTGCATCCCACATTCCACCCTACCCCTGCGTGTTCATGTACATGACAGTGTACATCGAGGACATTCTTATTCCTATTGGTCACCTGATGACTTGTTTTTCTCTGTAATTTTAGCATTTTTTTCCAAGACTTCTTAACATACTGAGATCCCGTTGTAATCTGGATTCATTTGTACCTGATCAATACCACAGACCATCAGACCAAAGTATAATGAACCTTGGAGTTTGCGCAGTGATGGGTCTAAATACATGGGCCAATAGACCCGCAATGCAGAGAACATGTATTTACTTGATGACAAAAGTAGGTTACCAGCCCGAATGTCAAGGAGAACATATTTCTTGTCATTGATTCCCAGCCAATGTTTTGCCAAGCACTCATATGTTACTAAGCACCATTTTCTGCACGGCATCTCTACAAGATTGCACCCATGTGGTCTGTGCTATGCTGGTGAGTGCTTTATTCACTTTTCCCTCATAGAGAAGCACGTGCTGCAGCCTTGAAATGGGACTTCATCCGTCAGCGAACCTCTCGACTCAAGAACGAACTGACTGAGAGAAGATTGGACTGGCTGCTGAGCACTCAGGTAAGCAGTTAGGTATGAGTGGGATGGGGTGCATTCGGAGCTGAGGAATGTCGACTAAAAGAGATTGATAGACCTACACTAGATCCATCAAAATCTTCATCCAGATTTTGTAAGCTTTCTGTGGATTCAAACCTAGAGCCCAGTTGTGTGCCATATGGAAATACAGATAAGAGAACGAAGGGCCCACGCTGGATCCATCAAAATCTACCACCAGATTTTGTAGTTCTCATGACTTGACACAAGCCTGGCCACGTCCCACGTCGTGGAGGGTGAGATAAAAGGTTGGACACACTCAAACTAAATCCACCATCTAAATCCATTTTTGTAAGCTTTTCATGGATTCAGGGATTAGAGCCCAGGCTGCCCAGCCATGTGTCCTATGTAGGGATATGAGATTAATGGGCCCACATTGTATCCATCAATATCTCGATCCAGATTTTGTAGGATCTCCATGGATTTAACATAAGAACCATGCATAATTTCTTGACGTGGGACTTGGAAAATAAGTGGTCTCCCTTCCACGAGTGTTTGAGGGAAATGGGTTAAGAAGTGATGGAGATTTCAATCTTTCTCATTTGGGCCTTGGGCTTAACAGAATTAAGGCAAGGTTTTCCCACTTTCTTCAGGAGGTGCTAAACAGGGTAAAGAAACTGATGGGATACCCACAGGTATGACACAAGTGCTAATTGAGCAATTTGATGAGGATTGGGGTTTTCTCAAACTTACAATTAAAGCTTTTTTGATATCCCCATCAAGAAATGCTATCCACTAGCGAGGTTTACTCAAGCCAGTCTATCCACACCGGACTTTGTTGGTCTTGCGCTGAATAGTCGTCTTTATCCCATGTTTAAGGATCCACTGACTGTCATTGGAGATCTAGCCCGACAACTTCCAATGCCTGCAGATGATCCAAAAGAGGTATGGAATAGACTGATGGACCACGGGATAACATAACAACAGGCATAGTGATGATCCCACGGAGAGATGGAATAGACTGCCGGAACATGGGATAAGATAGTGCCAGGCACAGTGGCTACCAGTGCCCAGTGGCAGTCCTGCCAAGCCACTTGGGATAGAAATAGTCTGATTGACTGCGGAACCACATGATACCAGTGGAGTACCAAAGTGTGATGTGATTTTGAACCAGTGTCATGCAAAATGAATGGAGTACAGGTGCGTGTTGGTTCACACGCCGAGTCTTGTGCTGATGCCTTTTACACATGAACCATGCGCATGATGAACTCACTTCAGAACTCTATACAGCTTACCTTAATGGGATAGTCTCATTGACCATGGGACATCATGCCAATGATATAGCATGGTCCAATACAGATGAAGAATAGACTGATACACAGGAAAATCATGTCACTGTCCAACGATAAACCCACATAAATTGTCAAATATATGTCGACTGACAGACCGTGAGATTTTATACCAGTGCTCAAAGATGACCCAAAGAGAGTTATTCTGACAAATCTGTCCTTTGTTCCTTTGGGTTAACAAATTCCCTCTTTAATTATGCAATCTTTGGTCTTGTATGTTCACCAACTACATGTATCGGTTAATACCACTATGTGGCCATTTTTTCTACGTACAGTTTTCCTGTTTATTTTGACGACGTCCCAGATATTCCACTGTCCCAAGAGTCTTGTTTTAATGATTTTATACATTTCGGGTGACGCTCAATAAAACTTAACCGGCATTTGCAGTGAGCGATTTCATGTTAAAATTTTGAATAGCAAATTCACTATGTATTTTTTGTTTGCATAGCAAAAAATTGACTTTGTATAGCAACTGATCAATTTTTGTTAAGCAGTTCCTGTTGTAATTTAAATCACGTTAAAACACTAAGCTCGGGTTTTGTATGTCGATTCTTGTTCGCCATTTTGGCCATCAAGCGTGCAAAAAAATGTTCCAGAATCGTCCACAGAAGAATTGCGTCATCACTGGCCCCAAAACGGGTACAACGGCAAGAAACTTCATAATCACGTCGTACCGCGGTACCAATGTGTACATGGCCAGCCATCATTTTGATATGTGCAGAAAGCGGCGCATACATACATGTATCACAGCACTGTTCTTGCTCTGCTGATGGACGATCTTTCGTGACTAGACAAACGTACCAGTAAACAGTTCAAATTCCTGAGTCATGGCACCAGTGTTACGTCGATAATTTAATCTTTACGTATATTTTCGTGTCCGTAACAGAAACAAATATTTTGATAAATGTTCATCGGAAAATTCTCTTGGAAAGGTGTTGCTGCGTGCGTGCATTTTGTAGCAAGTTGTCCGTTCTTTTGGATCCATTTTTAAAACTGGATCGCAGATTGTCCAAAACCCGTTGCATTTTTGTGTGCGATGCAGGGGCATCGCTCACTGATTTGAATTTAGTTAATTTTGGATGCAGACCTGGTAATTGTGCTGAATGTTTGAATTCAAAATCGGAATAAGCATAAAATGCTTTAATGTCGAGATTCACTTGCTTCAGCATATCATTACTTTTCGTGTTATGTCCAATTGAATTTGATTCACACTGGACATTTTTAGGTTTGAAAAAGCAGTGAGTTGACAAAATCAACACTCTCTAGGATGAGATTACGAAAGCAACTCCTTTTCAGAAATAATACCAACATTAACCATGGCATAAAAAGGCAACAAATTATAAGGAAAATAGAATGGGGTTAGGTGCAAACTTGGATCATCTTTAGTGCCAAATTGGGGAAAGCGGGTGTAGTTTTTACTCTAAATGAAGAGAAGAAAAAAAACGAATGGAACTTAGTACTGAACTTAGAAAAACAAAAGTAAAGATCAAAAGTCTGTGATTTGGGTTTGTGTCGTGCTAAAGCTCTTTAGGTGAAATATTAACACCCACTTGTCACAGCTGGTAAAGAAACTCCTCACGCTTATCCAGGGACCCAGTTCAAATTTTCTCCTCAGGGTGGTACCATTTGCAAAGATTAACTCTTTGGAAAGACTAATAGATTTACATAGAAACAAAAATCAAATATTCATGATTACGGCAATTTTCCATGTCAAAAAAAGGCAACTTTATTGAGAATTTACAGAGAGAGCATTTGATGGTGAAAACAAACACGGATATTAAATTACAAAATTAACTATGAAAATAAATAAAACTCTCAGCACCAGAAAACCATTAAAAAAAAACCAACAAACAATCTATTCCCTGCACCCCAACACAGACTTACCGTACCAAGTGCATGATACTGTGTTCTGTATAACTGTACACAGCATAACACAAAACCTATGAATTTAAGAAACAAACTGAACTCAGGAAAAGAATTTCATTAGTATCAACATGGAGAAATGTATGAATTAAATGCTGCACAAGAGCTCTGAAATATTTTCTCTGAGGTGTATTCTTTTCTCAAGTATTTGTGCTGTCGTTCAATTGGGCATATAGTGGACTAGGCGAAACGGGTAACACACCCTTCAAAATATTGTTGATTTGAACAGTGAACAAGGTAGCCATTACCTGAAATCGGATTGTCAACTCTTCTACATGTACAATGAGCATCAGCACGTAACCCTGCCTGAAAAAAAGACAGGCCAAAATGGAAGCGAGGAGTTGGTGATGACAACACATGCAATTCACAGCACAGCGTGTTACCTTAAGGGGTAGCCACAGGAAGGCCACTTTTCAACTTTACAACCAACAAAAGCACAGCTGATTTGCCGGGATTCGCATTGGAGCAAATGCCAGCGGACAACTTAAGGCAACTGATTGACCAGGGCATTTCCCGCTACCCCCAGAACTGTGGGATTCAACGTCCGCCCCACTCCCACCAACAGAATTATGGGGTCCGACCTGCTCCCCCTAACTTCGTGGGAACGGGGCGAACGTCGACCCCACATTTCTGGGGGTAATTCCGCACCTCACAAAAAAAAACCACCACCACCATTTTGATTACACTGATACTCAAACACTTTTAACCCAGACAAAAACTGGGAACAACTCCCCCGCCCATATTGCAACTGACAAATAGAACTCTGTCAACCACTGTTCCTACGGTGCACTACAAAAAATCCTCTCCATAGCAACCTCTTGGTGGCACACTGCACTGTCAATTGTTAGTATCCAAGCAAAATTTGCATTTATGTACTGACAAAAATCAAGGATTTTGTAAAATGCTTTGGGGTAGGTCAACGAGAAGAAAATTTCCTGAATATAAATATGATTTAAAATGGCTTGTTTTGAAGAAATACAATGATTTTGAAACTCTTATTATAGTACATGCTCGGATCTGACACTGACGAGTATTTTATTGTTTTAGCCAAATTGACTTTTGACCTCAATATTTTGCACCCAAATTCAACAGGGGAAATTCTTAAGACCATACAGAACACTCGACAAACCAAATTGGAAGTCAAATGGCTAAATAATTTGCAAGTTATTGCGCTAACGAGTATTCTATTGTTTTAGCTTAATTGACCTTTGACTTCATTGCTTTGCTACCAAATTCCAATTGGGTTCTTCAGACCATAGAGAACAATCCACACACCAAATTTGAAGTCAATAGGATAAATAATTCTCAAGTTATCGTGCTGACAAGATTTGTGGAAGTGCACACACACACACAAGTATGTATTTGCCTGCAACTGGGGACCACCTATTTGTTTTGTACACGGTTGTCAATCGGGGACCCTCTGTCAATCGGGGACCTTCTTGTCCTCTATTGTTCAGGGTCCCCAATTGAATGCAGAAACAAACTCAGTGACACCCACGGAAGGACAAAGGTGAAACAGTATGCCCCTTCGACCTTGTTGGTGGGGCATAATAAGCCCAAAATGTGATAACTATTTTCAGTCCTTTCAATTTCAGGGATTTTTTTCCAAGCATTAAATTCTCTCATTTCCAAAAGCTTCAGAGACATATTAATACCTCAGATGAAGAACGACACATATACATGTACTTCATTTAAAATTGAAACCAATGTCATGGGACTTTCTAACTCAAAAAACCATTTCCAAATTCTGGGTTGTTTCCTCACTTTAGAGTAGAGTCGTTTCAAAGTTAATCCAAGCAATAAAAAAAAACAGAAAATTTAGTATTTCATGGATGAATTACTGTTTTTTCTTAATACAACCATTCTGTCCTCCATACGGGAAAATGAGATAATTCAATATATAGAGAAAATTAAATGAAGATGCATTTGATAAGCAGATATCCATGATATACAAATGGATAAAAGAATACGTGGAGACAAAAGGAGTATTAAACTAGAAAATTCAAATGCTGAGGAATACAAATGTGGTGGGGCTTACATAAAGATAGTCTCCCTCGAATAGCACCCACCCATTGTCGCAGTTAGGCAATTGACAACTGGTGGTGTGGTGAAAAATACAAAGGTAACGGCTGGCAATTGTCCCTTCTTTCCAATATTGTCAGATTTATGAACTACTAATTAAGGAGAACAGAGATCCCACAGGTGCATGGAATAATTGCAGGACCTGACTCCGTGCATTACCCTGTGTAACCTTAAAGAAAACATTGCTAAATATTACATGTTGCAAGCGGCACCATTTCCTCCATGCACTTTCCCATTTAAGATCTCGGAGAGAGATACAAACTTATGCATTACTGGATGCACAAACCACCAATCACTGCTTCAAGGCTACATTTACAATGCACATCTGTGCAACTACAAATGACTCAAAAAGTGTCAGGCTCATCACTGTGACAGCATTGCTTTCTGACTGTTGCTAATTTGCTGAGAAACCGCTCGCCCATGGCGAGAAACCACTCGCCTATGGCGAGAATCCAAGTGGCTCACATGGTTTTTGAGCAGCTTTCCCGTTTTTTTCTTCTGCTCTGAGCAAGTGTGTTTGCGGGCTGTGTGCAACTCGCTGGCTGTTAGCTGCCCACTGGACCCGAGTAGCTTGCTTTTTCTAAGCTGCTTATTTGTGAGCAGCTTGGGCCCAGTTCGATCAGGAAGCTATTTGTCAACCAGTGGCTAATTTTGCCTGGTACTTGGATAAACATCTTAACTATTGGTTGATAATTGGTCTTTGATCAAACTGAGCTGAAGGGAGCCAGCTGGGAATGACTTCCTGGCTTAAGCTGGTTAGGGCTTCTGGGTTTGGCTTTCCGTGAGCATCTCACAAGGTTAACTTGGATGCTCACCAACAGCAACTTACACTCACTGAGACTGCCTCCAATCCTCTCCAATGGACTCACTAACGGCTGCTCAATGTGAGCAGTGCCTCGAACAACATCTCACTTTCCATTTGAAACACTTCGTCAAACAATGGCAAGGCTTGACTGAACAGCCTCCATCAGCACCAAGCTGGAACTTCAACACTCTTCTTTAAACAACACTACTACATTCATGAATAATTCAATATCTATCACCATCCTGCTCTGCCTGCACCAATCACTCTCCTTTCACCAACTCCCACTGCCTATTCTACTTCACTTGAATGGAATCAAACCCAGTCCGACCCATTTGAAGGTATATGTGCAAATGCTGCCAATGCGACACTCGGTTGACCAATGTCAACCCAACTGTTTCTTAACAATGATTGCCCTTCAAGTTAAATTCACACTGCTTGGCGTGTTGGCAAAATCTTCCACCAAACAATTGACGTGCAAATTACTAAACCAAAAAATACAAATTAACTCCATCCCAAGATGTGCTAAAATGCACACAATGACATGTACATACACGATATTTCTATGTAAAAAAAGCTTGCCTAAAGTCACTTTATTGCTAATATTTCTACACTGAAACTCTACCTACAAAAGTTAATTTATTCATGTAAACAACACCATTTGCCTGTACATCTCCCGAAACCATTCACAGCTGCATTCTTCAACTTGTAACGAACACTGTATCAAAAGTGAAACCTCTTCAACTTGAGTTTTAACTTTACCATCTGGGAAAAAAATAGTAAATTCCAAGCACCACTTCTTTTCTGCCAACAGACATGATTTTACTCCACAGCAAATAACCTCGCGCGAGAGATTAAATTTTAGGGGTGGAAATACATCTCATGATCTTTCTTGGACGGCAGCATGTCGGACCGACAGGAAATTAACTTGGGCACTTGGCAACTGCTCAAGGTCCCACATATCCGGCACTGTTCATAGGTTAATTTGTCAGAATTCCCTAAACTGTTCAGTAACCCTTCACTAAACTGTTAACGCATCAGTAACCCTTCCGCAACTCATAATACTTTTCCAAAAATAGATTTACAGTGGAAAAAGTCCTCTTTTGGTCATATCAATGCGCGCACTTCCAGGAATTGGCACTAACACTTTCGAAGTACGTTGTTCAAAGGAATCTAGACACTACCATGTAATTAGCCACAAGTTGAACCCTACGGATTGTTTGGGAGATATTTCAGACATCTGTTCTTCCCTTTTCGGGTGTTACTCTCACGGTGCTCATGTCTCTCTCAAATGTCGTCACTTCCTTCAGATTGCCACGTGCATCGGCATTATTTACTACAAATTTTGTGACACGCTTTGGCAGCGTCCTTTTTCAGAGATATTTGGATGAACATGCACGCAAGTGTAGAACATCTGCATACCGCGCCCATACACACCAGTTGACGTTATACACGCAGTTGTCATTTTTCAAAAAAAATGGCGTCCAGATAGATCTACTGAATGCAAACGCACTCAGGCAAACTTACCATGGGCACCAACACATGTACTTTACTGTGAATGCACCCTAAACTGAAGACGATTGTTCAATTTCAGTTCGCCTTGTACTCAGGCAAAAAGTGCAAAACTAGAGAACATCCCATCGGAACATCAAAATATGGACAGGAACGAACATGTGATGGCCCCTTGCGTATTTAGCACAGGGCACTGCATGCAAATGTGCCAACCCAGTACACTTTCTAATATGTTCCTGAAAAATAGCAGAGGTTCGGCGTATAGTGTGATTCGGCAACCAGAATGAGATGCTGTTACTGTGGAGGCACAATGCTCTTGGACAGGTGGTAGGCGCGCATTACATGTACACGCCTCTTTGACCAACAGGGTGTCGTAATTTGCTAAATGCACGCACCTGTCAATGCACGCACCTGTGCACGAGTGCAGTGCCACTGCAGTTATTGCATTTCCTCGGATTAGTCTGCACTAACTCCACACCTTTTAGCTGTTACAGTAAATTAATGTCTCTTTAATACAAAAAAACCCCCACTGATTTCACAGAAATAAAGAAAACCTTTGACCTTACATAAGTTCTGTTTATAATCCAAACCCTTATTTCTTATTGGTTCCCCGCTGCCGGAGTGACAGTGCCCAAACTATCGCTAAGACTGCGTACAGCATGGCCATTTTCTTGTCGGCATCAAAATGACAGAGTTGGTCTGAACTTCAACACGCGCAGCCTTTGATGGCCGCCTGTCCAGGTTGGAGTGTGTGTCCTCCCTTGGAATTCTCCAAATCTTTTGGGCACTTGTGTGGATTCTGCGTATCTCCAGTAACATATTTCTGTTTGGAAAAATTGCATAGTTTGTGCATTTTTGCTAAGGGGATTGTGTATTTGGGGGCGCCTCTGTTTTTTAATCTTACAAATGAAGGTCATCTACTTAGGCGAGCCTGAAAGCTTTAATATTATCTTTCCTTCTATTATAGGAATAGGCTCCCAAAGTGCACAATCCCCCTTACTAGCTGTCTGTATATTGTTTCATTGTGTGCGCAACGGAAATGGCCGAGTCACATAGATGTGGAACAGAGCTTTTTTCCCTCGTGAACAACATTTCGTTTCTTTGACTGCTAAAACCTCAAATTTCCCATTACCAGTGAAAACTAAATGAAATGACAAACCCTTTAAACACAACAAACTTAATGTTCTGGCTTTACAGACGTTTTTTTTGGGGGGAAGAGGTAATTATCAGGCTGACTCACAACCATATTTACCAATCTCATCATTTGAAACTTCAAAAATGAAGAAAAAGCCAAATTCTACTGCTCTAAAGTATACCATCACTCCACCCCCTAAAAAACCAACGAAAAACGGAAACAACAAAGACGGAGAGTCTATCCTGTCCATGGTCACCATTCCAAACTAGAGTTTTTCCAAGAAACCATGTTTGAGTATTTCCTATTATTCTTCATGTTACATATGCTTCAGTGAAATGTTCACAGATGTAATTCTGAGCATGGGCATATTCAGCGCACCGGAATGAAAACTGTCTCTGTACAACCATTGACTAAGGAGCTCAGACTTTTTCAATGAAGAAATTTACAGGTCTACAGATTATTACCAATATGCTAATATGTATTACTCAATTATCAAAAAAATAATAAATAATACAACCTACGCAATAAACATTTCAAGCTACCTCTAATGCTGCTTACAGATTTACATCAAATATGAATCCCCACCAGAAAGCCTTGTCCCCCTAATCTGGACTAGACGGGTTCTGTGACTTTGACAGAGGTGTCCACTGAAGCGACCATCTCATAACTTCCTCCGTTGACTTTCTTGGTAGAGACCAAGTCGTCGCCGGGTGCCAGCAGCGGGTAGCCAGCTTCCAGGCGGTGCTTGTCCAGTGCCGGGCCCCAGCTTTCTTCTGGCCGAAGGCCCTGGGCAAATCGCTACAAGCAAACAGCAAAATAAAGAAGAATTGGGAATAATAATAGATTGAAGATTTCACATAGTGATATATACCTGGTGCTGTTTTTATTGTAGATCTTTCTTATAGACCTTTTTCACTCACATGATTAAATGTAAACAATACCACCACATGTGACTGCCTTGGCCACGGTGATCGCATATATTCCTACGGACGGCTTCAGCCACGTGCAAGAGCACGTGCGAATGTTGCAGTCTAAACTAGTTTATCTTGAATAGGTAGATTACCAACACTATGCACTCATTACCATCACAACACATTGTAGGTCCAGTGCAATTTTACATCTGTGGAAAAAGGTCTATATGTTGTACCTTGATTAGAAATATAGCCCATCATTTGTAGACTAAACTCCCAGTGAAAATATTCTTTCTGGCAAGCTGTCATTTTGAAGAAAACAATGAAAAAAGGCCATTTCCAAGACACGCTTTGGGAAAATTGCCACTACAAGAGTGCGCAAGCCTTGACACGACAAGAGTGTACACATGAAATTCATCGGTTCAATGTGTAACATCTTGAACGTGAGAATGTGTCCCAGATGCTGAATTCTGGTGCAATTCAAAACATGATTGTGGTGCAATTCAAAGCATGACTTGGGAACCGTTGACCTGAAATTGAAATCCAAGAATATTTTTTTTTTCCCAGAATATACAGTGTTCACTGAGATGAATACCAGGTTTGTCCTTAAGCACCCTTCTTTACATTTTCAGTTATTTTGTTGCCTCACAGAAAAATAATACCCAAATGACAAATGGTGGACTGTACCCTTTAAGCTGAGTTGCTTTCAAATTCACAATATAAACTCAGTAAAGCAGATTCTCGATAGCTTTTACTAAGGGCGATATCAAAGGATTATGATAAACAGTGGGACGCTGCTATACCGAACACCGCTATACCGAACATTCGGCTGTACCGAACATTGTCCTTGGCTTCCAATAATTTGTACACAGAACCTACCGAACACTGTTCAGTTGCCGTTTGTAATTCCCGAATGTCAACATGATAAAACAGTCGGGTTTCTTTTATGTTGGAAAGTGACAAGTGGCCATTATTTCCCCATGGATTAGAAGGGAAAGCCACTAGTTGTCAACGGTATTGAATAGACGCTGGTTTTGCGACTCCACATGATCGGGGCGGAAGAAAACCTCACGTACACGCACGGTGGCATTGCACTAATAGTCTAAAGAGGGCGCCGCTGATACACAAATCAACCGAGATTCGCCACAGCATGCATCAGAGATCGATCCTGAGCGGTAGTTTCACGACTTTTAGGATAAACTTGATAGCAATTTTTTGACTCTAGTTTAAATAAAAAACTAAAATAATTAACAGATAAATTTCTAGAAACCTTAAACTTGAATGTAACGGCAAAACATCACGAAAATAGCAAACCAAGGTATCACAAGAGGGTGCACTTCGGTTAGACAAGAGAAGGCGCAACATGGCAACGAAACGTTCGGCAGTTAAATTCGCTATACCAAACGACTGCTGTACCTAACATTTAGCGTGGACCCCATCTCATTCGTTATAGCGGCGTTCCAAGGTATATTGACTGGCTAGGAGGGTCCCGAAGTAAGAGACCCTTACAGGTACCATTTCCCTCATCTTAGATCTTTAGAAATAAGATCCACGTCAGACAGAACAAGGTGGTTTTTTAAAACCATGGTCAACTTGTTCACAGTCCCTCGGCTCTTCATTAACCCCCCCCCCCGCCCCCCC